AACGTCAGCTTACCTGTTCCTCTGATGCTGCCTGGCCTGCTGTGTTCCTCCACCTCCACATTTTGTTATCTCTGACTCCAGCATCTGCAGTTCTTGCCATCTCAGTACTTAATACAAAACTTCAACACAGTCAGTCACCCAAGGCTGTGATCAAACCCGGGTCCCTGGCGTTGTGAGGTAGCAGTGCTAACCACTGAACTACCATGCTGTCCATTGGGAACACCAGATTTTTGGGTAACACCAGTAGTGACTGTGTGGAAATAGGAACAGAACCCATTGCTGGTGATTCTCAGGCTATAATTAAAATAGAGGCATTTGCAGTCTCCCAGTGTAAAGGGACTGGATGAGTTTGGTATAATCAACTGTGTCAAAGACTGGAGAAAAGTCGATAAGCGTGAGAGAAACTTGCCTCAGTTATAGTCCTAATGGATGCAATTTCCAACATTAGTAGTTTTCTTACTTTTTCTTGGCAACCAATTGAGTCCAAAAGTATAAAAAAAATCTATTTTCTACTCTGTTTTCTAACTCACAATCTGATAAATTGTGTTTAATTGTGTTGTGCTCAACTTTTGAACTAATAAAAATGTTATAACAGTGCCATCTTGTGGAAACTGTTAAGATGAGTTACAGCTCCATGGCTTGCGGGGTGGTGAACAGCAGAACTAGTTAGGAAAGAAAGATTTTAATAAAACGTGCAACTTGCATAGTTCCAAAGGATTGATATATTGTTTTAAATGTACCAATGATATCCTGTTCTTAACAGATTGGGATAGCATTGATTTTTGACATTTTCCACATTGGCATAAAGCACAATGCTGAAAAAGATGATCAAACACAAAAAGAAATATAGAATGCAGCCTGTCTTCTTGCGCAGTCATTTCTATGAAACCAGAAAATAAATTTGCCAAACGTAAGTGAACATTCCCTGTGATCATTAGATTTTCGGGTGAGAAGCATATTTAGAGTTAACAATGAACAGTCAGAAGTTTTGTGTTAAGTATTGAGATGGCAAAAACTGCAGGTGTTTCAGAGATTTCTGAAGGTTCCCAACCTGAAACGTCGGCTTTCCTGTTCCTCTGATGCTGTCTGGCCTGCTGTGTTCCTTCAAGGCAGCACTTAACTGAGTAGAGCATCAAGGAGCCCAAGAAAAAGTACATTCAATGGGAATGGAAGAAGAGGGGAGGGGATACTTTCCAATGGTTGGACTCAAACCTAGCACAAAAGGTTGGTTGCATGATTGTGGTTGTTGGAGATCACTGCTCTCAGTCCTGGATGCCACTGCAGGAGTTCTTCTGGACAGTGTCCTAAGCCCAGCCATCTTCAGCTGCTTCAACAATAACCTTTCTTCCATCATAAGATCAGAAATGGGGACAACCGCTGTTGACTGCACAGCGTTTAGCACCATTCATTACTCCTCAGATACCGAAGCTGCCTGTGGCCATATGCTGCAAAATTTAGGCAACGTCCAGGCTTAGGCTGATAAGTAGGAAGTAAAATGTATGCAACAAAAGGCCCAGGCAATGACCAACAAGACAGAATCTAATCATCTTCCTTTGACATTCAATGGTATCATCATCAATGAATCTGCCACTTACAACATCCTGAGGGTTATTATTGAGCAGAAACTAAAGTGGACCAGCCATATAAATACTGTGGCTACAACAGCAAGTCAGAGGTTAGGAATCCTGCAGTGAGTGACTCACCTCCCAACTTTTCAATGCCTGTTCATTATCTACGAGGTGCAGGTCAGGTGTGTGATGGAAAATTCTCCACTGGAGTGGACTATGCAGCTCCAACACAACATGAATAAGCTTGACATCATTGAGGACAAAGCAGCCTGCTTGATTATCATCTCATCTTTCACTCCCTCCACAGCTGACAGATGTTTGTAACACCTACAAGACTCCTTCAATAGCACCTTCCAAACTTATGACCTTGACCACCTAGAAGAACAGGAGCAGCAAATGCATGAAAGCACAGCCACCTACTAGTTCCCATCCAAACGACACACCATTCTGAGACGGAACTATATTTTCACTCCTTCACTACTGCTGGATCAAAATCCTCCAATCCCCTTCCTAACAGCACTGTGAGTTACCTACCCTTTAGAAGTTCAAGGAGGTAGCTCACCATCACCTTCAAAAGGACAATTAAGGATGAGTAATAAATGCTGCCTCGCCAATGACATCCAGTGAAGGAAGATAAAAGAAAATGTATTTTGACTCATCTCCAGTTCAATTTTGTTCTTTGTGTTCATCTTTGTTAATGTTTATAACATTAACTCCCCAATCCTTCCTTGAAAGTAGCCCTGAAAGACTCTTACATGGTCTATTGTATACATGCACAGAAGTCCTCCTATACCTCACTTTCACAGCCTGACAATCTTTCAAAGCATTTAATAGTCAGTAATTTCTGAAGCATAGTCACTGTTTAATGTAGGGGAACATTAGCATCTAGAACACTGGTATCTACCCAACAATGTAGAAAATTGGCCGGGTTTGTCCAGTGCACAAAAAGGTAGATAAATCCAAACAGGCTATTTACCATCCTATCAGACTTCTCTTGATCATCAGTAAAGTTATGGAATGGGTCATCAACAGTGCTATCAAGAAGCACTTGCTTGATAATAACCTGCTCACTGATGATCAGATTGAGTTCTGCTAGACTAGTCAGCTCCCGACCTCATTACAGTCTTTGTTAAATTCTGGATGAAAGACCTTAATTCCAGAGGTGAGGTAAGATTGACTGCCTTTGGTATCAAGGTCACATTTGATCAAATGTTGCATCAAGGAGCCCTAGTAAAAAGCCAGTGGGAATCAGGGAGAAACTCTGCTGGTTGGAGTCCTACCTGGCACAAAGGAACATGGTTCTAATTGCTGGAGGTCAGTTATTGCAGATCCAGGACATGTCTGCAGACGTTCCTCAGAGTATTGTCCTTCTCCCAAAAATCTTCAGTTGCTTCATCAATGACATTCCCTCATCATGTTCACTCATGAATGTACAATGTTCAGCACCGCTTACAACCTATCAGATATTGAAATATTCTACGCCCAATACAGCAGGATTTGGACAATACCCAGAGCTGAAAAGTGGCAAATAACATTGGCACCACATAAATACCAGTTAATGACCATCTCAAACAAGATAGAATCTCACCATTGTCCATCGGCATTCAATGGCATTACCAACACTGAATTCCCCACTATTAACACCCTATAATACTGGGGCTACAACAGCCAGAGGTTAAAGGAGGTCAAAAATCCTCAATCTCCAAAGCCTGTTCACCATCGACAAGACATAGGTCGAGATTTTGATGAAATACTCCCCAATTAACTGGATGAGTGCAGTTCCACAAAACTCAAGAAACTTGATAGCATCCAGGAGAAAGCAGCCTGCTTGATTGATACCACATTCACAAAGAGTCACTCCATCCACCATCGATGCTCAGTAGCAATGAGTACCAGCCACAAGATGTATTATACTCACCAAATCTCCTTATACACCTTCTAAATCCATGACCACTCACATTTAGAAGGATAAGGGTCAATGATACATGGGAACATCACTACCAGTCTTTGTGGATACTGCCCTTTAGTAGACAAATCCAGGTTTGTCCAAGTACATGTGGACTTTGATGGGATAGAAGCAGTAATAAAAGGTTGGAACTTAATGTAAAAACTCCTACAAAAAAAACACTTCACACCTTTCAAAATTAGGTAAATTCATTTTACAACTGACTTTTGTTTTTGATGTCCATCTGTACCCAATGATCTCACCTTGTGGGAAAGAAGCATCAACATTTCAGTCGCATTGTATCCAAGAAACATGGATGCTAATTGTTTTGCAGATTATGTACCATGTTCTGTAGCAGATGTTTGAAATGCCTTGTTTGACAATTTGAAGGTGATACAAATATTGAGTCACACAGGGGCAGACTATTTACATGAGGAGCCATCATCGTGAGAAAGTGAAGAGTTTCTCAAGCAGTCAATGTGATCCATCATCCACAGTCTGGAGCACAGGTTGAAGAGTAAGCCTACAACTTTCCAGAACAGCATGACTCACTTTTATCTTAAACTTTTATCATAGAAAATTCCAGCCATCAGAGGGCTCCATATTTAGTACTGAGCTATTTCAGACCACTTAACAGCCGTCCTAATGACTGCTGAATTGTAATTGTAATTATTTTTTGATATAGACATGTTGCTACTACAATCTGAGATAACCAAACATAACTGTGAAATGACATTCACAATGAAATTCCACAAAACGATGCAAATAAAATTTGGGTAACAAATATCAGGAATAACACATCTCTGTCGTTCTAAATTGAAAACTGCAAGTTGCATTTTCGTATTTCAGAAATATATTTTATTCTCTGCAAAAATACAAAGGAAACAAATTAGAAACTGGGGAAATAGAAAATGAACGAGAGTATAGGTGTTACCAAGGTTTCATTGGGGATGAACGATCCAATCAGCGAGGGGTTTATAGGGAGGTGTGTGTCATGGCGGCGCCCTGTGCCGTGGACATGAAGTTGGTGATGTTCCGCGGAATCTGCAGGTTTTTACCGGAGAGAGCGTCCGCGCTTGGGACTCCGTTCGTGTGGAAGTTGGGTACGGGAGCGGGATGGCAGCCGGTGAGACGAACTCATCAACAGCTATGGGCCAGCAACGCCGTCCGGGGCCGAGTCTCGGTGGATCAGGGCAGCAGCAGGTGAGAAACAGAAACAGAAACAGCAATTGCTGGAAAATTTCAGCAGGTCTGGCAGCTTCTGTGAAGAGAAATCAGAATTAACGTTTCGGGTCCGGTGAATCTTTCTCAGAATTGCCAAGCTGCAGGTGAGCTCGTCTCATGTGTCCCTAATGAAAGGATGGCGCTAAAGTAGTTCCACAGAGCGGTCAGGCCCGGGGACGATCCTGTTCAGGGCAACGACCTCTTGTTTTACCAGTGACCCCGAGGAACTTTAATGGAGAAACAGGTAAATACTCCATGGCTAATATAAAACAAAGTACAGAACTACAATGCTGGAAATCTGAAACTGCATGGGGCATCTCAGGAGTATATTTCAGTTATGGGATGGTAGGTTAGCTGGGCCAAGTGGAGTGTACATCCTGTGGTTTACGTGGATGTACCATACGTACTGAGTTTGGAATTTGAGCAGCATCTGGAGTCCCTGTTCTGAGTCCATGAGACAAAAGACTACATGGATAGCATGAATAGGAAGTTGGTCACACCACAGGTTAGAAGCATGCAGATGTGAAGGAATGGGTGACCCCCAAACACTCTAGGAGAATGCAGGAATCTCCTGAGTGTCTCCTGCTTGTTAATTAGTATTTCACTTTGGGCAGTGGTTCCTCAGCAGAGTGTGGCCAGAATGAAGTCCATTGCACCATGGGCATCTTGGTTGTGGGATGTATGGGAAAGGGAGTGACAGATGGAAGGACAATAGGGAGAGGGAATGGAATTCCATAGGGGGTCCACCAGTTGTTTTTTTTTTGTGTGTGGCATTAAATGTGACTCCAGGATAGTGTGTTGTTTAACTAGTGTCAGGGTCAAGGATATCTCCGAGTGGCTGCAGGACATCCTTCTGAAGAAGGGAATTGGCCAGATGTTGAGTTCTACATTGATGCCAATAACATGGGAAGGAAGAGAGATAAGTTCCTGGTAGCAGGTTACAGAGAGTTGGGAAGAAAATTAAAAAGCAGGCCCTCGAGCAGTAATCTCAGGATAACTCCCAGTGCCATGTGTTAGTTAGTATAAGAGCAGGAGGACTGATTGATTTAACACATGGCTGGAAAACTGGTGTGAGGAGGAAGAATCAGATTTCTGAGGCATTGAGACCAGTTCTGGGGCACATGGGACCTGTACAAGATGGATGAGTTACATCTAACAAGACTGTGACTAATATCGTCACAGGGAAACTTGCTAATGCTGTTAAGGTGAATTTAAATTGGCTTGTGAGGAAGTGGAGACTTGAGGAGAAACCCAAATTTGAAGGAAATAACCTTAGTAAATTTCCTACTTTCTGTTACTAAGAGGACTAAAAGACAGGAAAAACAAAGCCAAGCACTGAATAAGCTTTGAATGCAGCATGATGTCAAAAAGATTTGAGTTAAGGGCATTCTAATGCATGCATTTGGAACATGGTAAATGATTGAAAGAAGTGAATAGATTTAAATGGTATGATTTGACTACCATTTTAGAAACATGGCTGCCTGGTGACCAAGACTGGGAATCAAAGAGTCAAGGATATACATTTAAGTTATGACAAAAAGAAAAAGGAGTTGAGCTGATAATAAAGAATAGCATCAGTACATTAGTAAGGGAGGATCTCGGATCAGAAGAACAATAAATGGAGCCTGTTTGGGTGGAGTTAAGAAACAGCAAGGGGCAGCAGACATTGATTGGAGTTACTTATAGGCCACCAAATAGTAGTGGTAGTATAGCGCGTGGAATCAATAATGAGATGAGAGAAGCATGAAGTACAGGCAGCACAGTTAGCATGGGTGACTTCAATTTGCATACAGAGTGGGTAAACCAATTGAGCACAAAAGTTGAGGATGGCTGCTGGACTGTTAAGGATAGATTTCTTGAGCCGTATGGCAAGGACCGTACTCGAGGACTGGCTTTTTTAGATTTAGTATTGTATAATGAACAACGGCTAATTAGTAATCTTATTGCAAAAGAACCTGTAGTGATGAGTGACCACAATATGATAGAAGTTTACATTGTGGTTGAAAGTGAGGTAGTTTAATCTGAAGCAAAGGTGTTAAATTTGAATAAGGGCTGACAGGGCGGTCGATGAGGTTGTCTCTTTTTACAGTCTAAAGCTTTATATAAATGTGTAATTACGCTTACATTTTAGTCTTTTGTGTTCTGTACATAGACCATAACACCAGAAATCGGAACAGGAGCAGACCATTTGGCCCCTAAAGCTTGTTCCACCATTAAGCATTTTTCATACCTCATCTCCAATTTCCTGAATATCTCTTAATTCCCTTTATGCCCAAAAGTCTACCACCCCTATCTTAAATATGTTCAATGATTGAGCATCCACAGCTCTCTGATGTTGAGAATTCCAAAGAATGTGGACAATTAAACAACAAACCTCCAGCCCCACCACACCCGGCACTTTTCCCTGCAACCGCAGCAAGTGCTACACCTGCCCCTACACCTCCCCCCCCCTCACCCCCATCCCAGGCCCCAAGAAGACTTTCCACATCAAGCAGATGTTCACCTGCACATCTGCTAATGTGGTATATTGCATCCGCTGTTCCCGTTGTGGCCTCCTCTACATTGGGGAAACCAAGCGGAGGCTTGGGGACCACTTTGTAGAACACCTACGCTCAGTTAGCACTAAACTGCACCTCCCAGTCGCGAACCATTTCAACTCCCCCTTCCATTCCTCAGACGACATGTCCATCCTGGGCCTCCTGCAGTGCCACAACGATGCCACCCGAAGGTTGCAGGAACAGCAACTCATGTTCCGCTTGGGAACCCTGCAGCCCAATGGTATCAATGTGGACTTCACAACCTTCAAAATCTCCCCTCCCCCTACTGCATCCCAAAACCAGACCAGCTCGTCCCCGCCTCCCTAATCTGTCCTTCCTCCAACCCCCATCTTCTACCTACTAGCCTCATCCCGTCCCCTTGACCCGTCCGTCCTCCCCAGACTGACCTATCTCCTCCCTAACTCCCCACCTACACTCCCCTTTCCTGGCTCCATCCCCGCCTCTTTGACCTGTCTCTCTCCTCTCCACCTATCTTCTCCTCTATCCATATTCTATCCGCCTCCCCCTCTCCTTATTTATTTCAGAACCTCCTTCCCCTCCCCCATTTCTGAAGAAGGGTCTAGGCCTGAAACGTCAGCCTTCCTGCTCCCCTGATGCTGCTTGGCCTGTTGTGTTCATCCAGCTCTACACCTTGTTAACTCAGATTGTCCAGCATCTGCAGTTCCTACTATCTCTCTCCATAAATATCCTTGTCCTCAAAGATGAGGGAACCTAGCACATGTGTGTGAGAGAGAAGGCTGAGCGTCTGCAAACATCTTCTGCTAGAAGTACTATATGACAATCCATCTTACCCTCTCTTGAGATCCTCAGCATTAGAGTACCAGTCTTCAGATAAGTCAGTTCATTCTATATGATATCAAGAATGGCTGAAGGTATTGGGTACAAGCTACAGACCATGACAGCATTTCAGTTGTGGTACTCAAAAGTTGTGCTCCAAAACCAGGTGTGCGCTCATGATTTTTTTTCCTGCACAGTTACAAAACTGGCACGTACCTTGCAATGTGAAAAATTGTCCGGGTATGTTCTGTCCACTAAAAGGCAAGACCAAATCCCATTTAAAGAATTATTGCCCCATCAGCAAAGTGGTAGAAGATGTCATTGACAGTTCTTATCAAGTGGCACTTACGCAGTATCAAACACATTGTGACTTTGTCAGTGATGTACAGAGGTGAATTAAAAATATTGGAGAGAGTGCACAACCTTCAAGCAATCCATCTACCCAATATTTGAAGTGCCACCTGCTTCACATGTGGCAGAGTCTGTAGATTATGCAATGGTTTATCATCAAGGTTCAAAAATCACAGCTGGTGGGTAAACTTGCTTTTTCACGCCACTCCTAAAAATGGGCCCAAAAAAATAATCAATGGTGGAGGTGACAACTAAGAGAATTTACTTGTTGAAAGTGACATAACATATGAAATTCAGTTCATGGTTTGTATATATGCTGTCACAATACTGGCAGCTGCTTAAAGTTCAAGCTGGAGCCAGGAAGGAGGAGAGCAATGGGGACGAGAATAAGAGCATATGTGACTTAGACACTTGCGTTACAGCTCCTGTCAGGGAGGTGTACGAAAACTCTTAACCTCATCACTTCTGGATCAGAGCACTTACAGTTCACAGACTTTAAACTATTTTCCTCATTCATTGATTTACTTAAACCTCTTTTATTTCTCAAGCAGTTTCCCCTTAATTTATCACTCACCTTAGTTCTGTTGTTGCTAAGGATGTATTTGCAACCGCAAGTGTACTAGTTGTAAAGCAGTTTTAGTTTGTCAATGCAATTCATCCTGTGTAGTCCACATTGCTACTGGAGTGAGTTGGAAGTGTTACAAAGCGGAGATTGACCTTCCCACCCTCCCCATAACTAAAACCAAAGCACCCAGAGCAGAGCACCTCACCTTATAATCTGTTAAAAAGGAGTGTGAAAAAGTGGTGTAACCTGCCTCTGAGCAACTTAGTGGTTAAATAAAACAAACCCCTGACACTCACTTTTTACAATCAACAAATAACAATTTATTCATCTAATTCTAATAGTAAACAAACTAACTAAGTTATTAACAAACCAAATAAACCCCTTCTAACTACTAACTATTCCCAAATAAAACAAGGTTCTAATGGTATGCTGTTCCAATAAATACAAGTTCCACATATAAATTTTAAAAAAAAACAGAATTTAGTCTGTCAAAATTACAGCCAGATTATGTGTCTTCTGGAATGCTCTGTGCCTTCACCGTCGAACTTACTGTCAGGAGCACCTTCTCTGTCGAATTCTTCTGTCGGGAATATTAACTAGTTGTGCTGTAGGTACCTTTGATTTAGATGGTGCTTTCTCTAAAACCTAGAGAAGACTGAGAGCCAGTGATTCTCTCTAGAAAGCTGTTAACTCGGGCAGATGGCAGTTGATTCTCCTGATTTTCCAAC